GCCTCTGATCCTGTCATTTGCTCTCTGCCTCTGATCCTGTCATTTGCCCTCTGCCTCTGATCCTGTCATTTTCCCATCGCCTCTGATCCTGTCATTTGCCCTCTGCCTCTGATCCTGTCATTTGCCCATCGCCTCTGATCATGTCATTTGCCCTCTGCCTCTCATCCTGTCATTTGCCCATTGCCTCTGATCATGTCATTTTCCCTCTGATCCCTTCTATTGGGCCCCATGTCATTGTCATACTCTTGTTGTGTTCAGCGTGTGTACAGGTGTGTATTGTGTCATGTTGATATCCCCCATTTTCCAACACCAAAACCATACGAATTAAGTAGACTTCACTTTTAAAATGTATAACTTATTTAGAAGTCTCCCTCCCCGAATTACGCATTCCATTGCCCCCCTGGTGTGATTTGTGATTCCCCCCCCNCCGGTGAGATTCGTGGTACACGCATCCCCCTCCCCCCCCCTTTTCAACCAGTGGTAAACGAACTTCAGGAACTACCGGGGATAATTACGACAAGAGTTTGGACGGCCATCTTAATGGCGCCGGAGAGTCCGTCTCCAGACAATGCCCACTCCAGTGTGGTGGAAAGTTGCTGAGACGAGACGCTTGTACGTAGTTGTGAGATCAAGTTAAAGTCCGAAGAGTTACATCACACCATCTGAGTTCACTTCATTTTGAACTTGAGTTCCGTATCCTATAGCACCAAAATTATAGTAACTATTTTTTTTTTTAAAAACCTTCTTAAGTACATTCAGTTTATTACCTTTGAATCCTATAAGGCAGTGGTTCTCAACCTTCCTAATGCCGCGACCCTTTAATACAGTTCCTTATGTGGTAACCCCCCAACCATAAAATTATTTTCGTTGTGACTTTATAAATATGTGTTTCCCGATGTTCATAGGCGATTCCTGTGTAAGGGTCGCTCGATCCCCAACCCAAAGGGGTCGTGACCCGATGGTTGAGAACCGCTGCTCTAAAGGTCTGATATTGTGTGAATAAACAAACCAATGGCTCAAAATAAGTTTCGTGCTATATACTCAATGCATATTTATATAATAAACTGTCTTGGCAAACGTCCTCATGAATTTTTATATATTAATAGCTAGCTATTACCCGACATTCACTCGTGTGGGTTTTTGGCTTAGATTAGATGCAATCATTTTAAAAAGATAGGCTTATTGTTTTTTTAAGTTTACATCCAAAATTCGACTAATTATAATTTACATGTTTATGAAGCAATGAATGGATTCCAAATGCTACCCAACCCCATCCGCTTTTAACGGTATTTTAAGAAATCCATATAGTACGTACGCAAAAAAAAAAGGTCCAAATTCAGGCACCTCAAAAAAGGTCCGAATTCAGACACCTCACAAAAAGGTCCAAATTCAGCACCTCACAAAAAGGTCCAAATTCAGACACCTCACAAAAAAGTCCAAATTCAGCACCTCACAAAAAGGTCCAAATTCAGACACCTCACAAAAAGGTCCAAATTCAGACACCTCACAAAAAAGGTCCAAATTCAGCACCTCACAAAAAAGTCCAAATTCAACACCTCACAAAAAAGTCCAAATTCAACACCTCACAAAAAGTCCAAATTCAGCACCTCACAAGAAGGTCCAAATTAAGCACCTCAAAAAAAGGTCCAAATTCAAACCCCTTGCTACCACTCTTGTATGCGTACTTTTTTTGGACACCACAATGAAATGTTGACACCACCTAACTAATGCTTTTCTTTTCAATCCTTGGATTCCCATTTGCTGTAAATCCCTCTCAATCTCAACACCACCTATCCATCTAAGCCCAGGTCTGTCTGTGAACCGTTTTCCTCTTGGGGTTTTGATGGTGCACCCTCTTCACTCCTCTGTCATTCGTTCTAAGTGTCCAGACCAGCGTAGCCTGCCATTTTTTTATTTCTGCTATACTAGCGTTGGATTCTGATATTACTGACATAAACTATTCAGGATTCCTGGATGTTTTGTATTATCCATCCATATTCATTCTTTGTTGGTCCATCTCTTTTCCGGAGAACTTTTCTCTCACATGTGTTAATGGATTTCTGCAGTTTTTTTTTTTGTTTTTTTTTTTGTTAGTATCCAAGTTTTACTTGCGTCTTTTACAACTGGTCTGTTTTCAGTCTTGTATTTTTTTTCTTTGTTTTTCGTGTAATACTTTAACTTTGAGTATTTTTTTTTTTTTTTTTTTTTTTTTTATGGTTTTTTTTTTTTTTTTTTTTTGTTTTTTTTTTTGTTAGTATCCAAGTTTTACTTGCGTCTGTTACAACTGGTCTGATTACAGTCTTGTATATGTTTTCTTTGTTTTTCGTGTAATACTTTAACTTTGAGTATTTTTGACTACTGAAGTATAAGCCTACCATATTTGAATTGATCTACTTTTTCAAAAGTGTGTTTTCTTATTTTAATGGCTTCATCTGTCTCTTCCTCTCTTAACATTGTCACGTATTTTGGGGTTTTTATTGTTAACTTCCAGCTCTGCTTGTAGTCATCGATCTTCTAATTCAATAATGGCTTTTGATATGTCTTTTCTAACTCTCCCTAAAAGTGTTTAGTCATCAGCATTTACCAGATGCTGAAAGGGTTGATTGTAGAGGGTGCCCATTGGTTGTGAGTCTTGGGTTTCCCTCAGAAAGTATCCTGTTATAGTTCCTGTCAATATGTTTGTTTCTTATAACTCTCTAATGTAAGGTTACATAGCATACAAGACAGTGAGTCTGCTTGTCTTATGCCCTGTCTAATCTGAAATCCCTTGATTATTCTCCTGAACCTTGATTGTACTTTTGAGTTGTTAAATGTTATAGGTATCAATTTTGTCAGTTTATTGGGTATGCCAAACTCGTGCAGTCTCATAAAGTTATGTTGTTTTTTTATGCTGTCATAGGCCATTTTATAGTCCACATAGAGTTGATGTACTGGGATATTGTATTCGTAACTTTTTTCTAATATGCATCTGATGGTGAAAATCTGATCAGTCTTTGATCTGTTTTGTCTGAATCCACATTGGTAATCCCCTAGTATTTGTTCAGTTTACGGTTGTACTCTTTTGGCAGTTAGTTTCGTCAGTATTTTCAATGTACCACTTAATAAGGAAACGTTGCTATTTTTAGACTGCCAGAATATCAGAATGACTTTTTCTTCAAGAGGTAGTAAATAAATGCACATGTTTTCTATCGAAACGCCCCCACGCCGGCACGTACGCGAAATATCCAAAATCGATACTCCCCCTCCCCTTTTCCCCACTCAGTGCGTCGACCGCGTACATAATATATGGGCCCCATACCAGAACCCATTTTTATGTCTGTAATTATGACAATTTCTTCGCTTTCTTCATTTATAATTATTTTATTTTCATTTTACCGCCCTTTCCCCACGCACACAGACATTTTCGCCCTTCCAGGTCCTTGAAATTTAAAATAATTCTATAATCCCTAAGCAACGGGTAATGATGATTCATTGTACACTTCTTCAATTATTGACTGGTATTCGTATCATTTTGGTGGTGGTGCGTGAAGATGAATCTGTTGATGAAAACGCAGGAAAGTTATAAAATCAATGGCCTATAACTCATGACACCATGACCAAATAGTTAAAAGTCTCCTGATTGCTTCCCTTTAGGTTCGAATATTGCTCTGTTCGTGTCTGTTTTGTGTATTGATATCGGGCAAGTCATCATTCTAAAAATGCATAGACTTAATTGACTGAGTTGTGGTTGACTTTTCTCCTCCTGCATATTCTACTGCAGTCTTGTTGACTGATTCTGATTTGCTCTTTTTAACAAAAATTATACCCTTTGTGCCAGTTGAAATGTCCCTTTATGAATTTAAATTTATTTATTTTTAATTATATCATTGAAATTGAAGCACCAGTATTTTTAAACACATGGAAAGGCATTTCCTCTTTGACAAAAAAAATCTTTTCTAGCCACGACTTAACTTCACTCCTGCCTTTGTCCAATTTTTTGGTGTTTTTCCCCCCAATTTAAAAACGTTATTTGAATAACTCTCCACAGATGAAACTGAAAGTCATTTAAAATGTTGGCTTCAATGAAGCATTTATGCAGATGAGGTGTTTAAAAGAAATAGTGGAGAAATTTCACCTGATGGAAATGAGATCTTCCACTAAAGAAATTATTTTGTTCATTTTAAGAAGCTGCATTTCAGTTTACAGAAATTTAAAAATTAATACAAAGAACATTAATTTTCTTCTAGATATTTTCAGCTATAATCACCTCTTATTTACCGGTCAAAAAACATTATGATGAACAAATATTTTGGATTATGTCTAACTTGTCAAGCCTAAACACATTTCTTCAAGCCTTAGCAAACTTTACTTCATAGGCCTACCTTACTAGTTTGATGGCAGTCCATTCCAGAGACTGGTATTGTTCATATTCACTAATTCACTGTACATTTGACATTGCAAGATAATTTCATTTCTCCCCAGAGTGCTGAATAGTATGTATCTGTCATTCATGTCAGTCAAAAGTTTAATTTTTCAAATAATATGTATCAAAGTCGATGTCAAATTATCAACTTGGACTAGCATAAAATGTTTGTAAGTAAGCAGGTGGCAAAGTTCTCCCCTTAAAATTTAAAATTTTTTAGAATGTTTTGACATTTTTTCTATTTATTAAATAGAGTACTAATTTACTTTTAACTACCGGGTAGTTATTGCCTTGGCAGCGTAACAAATGTAACATAATTAGTTACTGTGTTTAAATTCTAATGCTATCATAAAATTTATTTCATTGTTATTATCAAGGTTATTTGGTGAATGTTAGTTACAGTAATACCTCGCTACTTGACTTTTTGCATTTTGTGTCATCACTACTTATCTGGTTTGCTCCTAGAATACATTCTGCTGATTTTTCACGGTTTGGCAGGATTTTTGCGGTACACGGTACTCATATTTTTATAGATTTATTTTTTTTATTATTGTTGGGATAAAATCAGCATTTTCTTACCTAAAAAATTGAAAATAATATAAATATAACTATATAAGTATAAGTAAATATAACTTTTTATAAGAGTGTGTGATGGTTTTATTAAGCTTTAAAGTAATTTAAATTATAAATAAATCCTACTTCGTGGTTTTTCACAATTCGGGGCCCGGGCCCACTGAACATAACCCCACGATATTTGAGATTATTACTATATTTAGCATACGATAAATGAAACAAAAAACAACTTAAGTAATTTATTTCCTGCAAGCAGGGACCTAATTTTCTTTTAAGGGAAAATCTTTCAATTATTTATTACCAATAACTAATTTTTATACCAGGCACAAACACATAAAACTCCACATTTAAATATCAAAACATCAACAATAATATAGTGATTTCCAGGGTTGTTTACATTCTTAATGAAAGCAAGATCAACAGGGATCTCTGAATAGCATCCACTCATGCATTTTTACATCCTCCAGTGTGTATTTGTTGAATGTGTCTGCATTGTGCCCTTCATTGGACCAATCTTTCCACATAACAGAAAAGCCTACACTTACACTTACACACAAATGCACATGTTGAAATTTTGTTCAAAACCCTAAACAAACTTTCTTTTCAAAAATATATTTTTAAAACTAAATATTTCCTGACAACTTATTGTTGGAGCAGGAAATCAAATCATTGTTCACATAAACATTAAAAGTTTGCAATGCATACTTCTGAAAGCTTTCTTCATACTAATTTTCAACTAATTTTTTTAAATCCTAGCTTTCAATTTTCTTTTTTTTCCTCGCCGTCTTTCATCCTGGCCTGCTCGCCAACAACACTTTCTAAGATGCCCTGCTTCTCCCTGAAGTACTCAGCATACCATCGAATGTGCTCCAGCTTTTCTGGCACGGTGATGTAAGGGTTCAAACTGAGTCCCAGTGCGATCAGCTCCATGAACTTCCTGACAGGCCCCTTGTCTGGAAATAGTGACAAGTGCTGTTCCAGAAACACATGGTCATGAAACTTGTACTTCCTCTCTTCGTGCATGTCTTTAATAAAAAAAATCAAAATTAGTGAGGCCTAATTTATTTGTTAAGGGACTTTAGCAAGTTAAAATGTTGTGTTAAAGTTATATACAAGTGAAGGATGCAACCCTGGTGACATCAAATTGAAAATTTCAAATTTGCCAGAGCTCACTTGAGTTGATTTCATAACATATCGAATATATATATCCAAGAGCAGGATGTGACCCAGCCATCGCCTGACTTTAGCAGGCCTCCTGCAACTTTTTGGCTTTGCGCCTACAGCATTCAAAGTTGCCAGTTCACACAACATGAGACAAGTAACTGTATACAAGTTAAATAAATTTAAACAGACATAACAAAAAAACATATCATGGTTAACATTAAATTATTATAGTTAATATACTACACTCAGATTGGCTATTTAAAAAAAACATTTCAGACATATATGTCAAAGAAAAAGATCCATAATTATTAATAAATCTGGCACCAATAGGAAACTTATCCAACGGTCCACAAAACTTCAACGGATGGGAAACACTGCCCTAGAGCACAAGTCTTAACCTTTGGTCAACAGAAAAGGTGTCATGAGCTGGTTTTCCTTTTATTTTATTAACAGACAGGATAGCCAAAGATGTGATACATATATTAACCTTTAAAATTTTTTAATCAATTTCAGTTTTAAAAACCTTATGTTCCAGTGAAATAACTGACTGGAGTTTTTAGAATAATCTAAAGAAGTTACTGGTTAAAAAAAAACAGACACTGATTTTAGTTTTAAATACAGTGGAACCTCTCACAACGAGCATAATTCATTCCAGAATCTTACTCGTTATGCGAAACACACGTTAAACAAAACAATTTTTCCCATACAAATCAATGTAAAATACGATAATGCGTTCCATGCTGAAAAAATACTCATTTTTTCAAAAATTTGTTAAATAAAATTACTTATGAATTGTTAAGGAGTGTCACAACTTGGAATACAATTTAGATTTGAAACAAAAAATGTAAATAAAAATATGAATTTATGACAAATAATTAATCCTTTTAACTAGAAAACTGTCTAAAGACATTTGTTTTTGTCGACGCTTCAAAATTTGACGAAAATGTGTCACAGCATTATCATTGAATAAATTTGTAGCACGAATAGCCACCTCCTTATTAGGGTGATGCTTCTCAATGTACGATGCAACAGTTTCCCATGCTTTCAGCATTTCTATTATGCGCTAGAAGATTGTTGCTCTGCTACTTCCTCCTCCATTAATGAGCTCTCCTCCATAATTTCTTACTGTGAAACACGCTGCAACTCCATAAGCTCTTCGGTGGTCAACTCTTGGCTGTGCTCTTTCACAAGCTCTTAAATAACGTTGTTGTCCACCTAGAGTCCCATGATATTGGCCAAAAGCACAATCTTGTTAACTGCAGACTCCACAGGTACTGTTTCAAAATCACATTCAACAACACTCTCTGGCCAAAGTTTTTTCCAAGCAGAAGTGAGGATCCTCTTGGTAACTCCTTCCCAAGCCTTGTCAATCATCTTGAGGCAAGCAACGATGTGAAAATGATCTTTCCAAAACTCTCTAAGAGTGAGATTTGTCTCTTCGGTAACTTCAAAACAACGCTCAAAGGGTGTTTTAGTGTAGAGTTTTTTAAAGTTAGAAATAACCTGATAGTCCATAGGCTGGAGTAACGGAGCGGTGTTGGGAGGCAGAAAGTGGATATTGATGAAATTAAATTCTTCATAAATATCATCTTGTAGGCCTGGAGGATGGGCGGGCGCATTGTCCATAACAAGCAAGACATGGAGAGGAAGATTCATCTCAAGCAAAAATTTTTTTACGGAAGGACCAAACACTTCACTGATCCAATCAGTGAAAATGTCATGTGTCACCTAGGCCTTCTTGTTGGATCTCCACATCACATTTAGTCTGCTCTTCTGGACATTACACTTCTTAAAGGCTCGTGGAGTTTCTGAATGGTAAACAAGCAGCGGTTTAATGTTCAAATCGCCACTTGCATTGGCACAAAATAGCAGCGTGAGGTGGTCTTTCATTTGCTTGTGGCCTGGCAATGCATTCTCTTCTGCTGTTATATAGGTTCGCTTTGGCATTTTCTTCCAGAAGAGACCCGTTTCGACACAATTAAAAACTTGTTGCTGCAGGTAACGCCCAAAATCTATGAGCTTCTTGAAGTCAATGATGAAGTTCTCTGCTGCTCTTTTGTCAGGGCTTGCTGCTTCACCATGCCTCACAACCCTATGGATCCCGGTTTTTCTCTTAAACTTCTCGAACCATCCATGACTTCCCTTGAATTGTAGTTCTTTTTCAGCAGTAGAAGATCCTGGTGTTTTCTTAATGAGGTCAGCGAAAATAAGTTTCGCCTTCTCACAAATAATGTTTTCGTTAATAGTGTCGCCTTGTAATTCCTTCTCGTATATCCATATTAGAAGCAACCTCTCAACATAATCAAGAATACATAACCGTTTCTTAGACATTCTTGACACTCCCTTTGAAGCACCCATCTCCTTAAATTTGTTTTTGTTCTTGAGAATAGTGCAGATCGTTGATGTTGACCGATTGTATGTGCGCGCTAGATTAGCCACGCTCACACCTTGTTCTCGCTTTTCAATGATTTTACGTTTCATTTCAACAGTTATTTTCTCTCTCTTATGATTGTCTTCTTGTGGTTTTTTCTTCGAAGACATTTTAGCATAGGTTATTACACTTTGCACATAAAAAAAATTACGAATACTGTCTGAATACAAAATTTGTAAAAACTGGTGATCGCACACGAAAACAATACGCTAACAGACCGAGTGCTAAACACAGACTAATGCATCGGCACGGAAGTCCCGGCTCAAAAATGAATGTCGGGAAAAAGGGACTTCCCCTTTCTGCGTAACTCGTTATGCGAAATGGCGCTCACATTTTTTTTTGCTCATTATGTGAATTACTCGTTATGAGAGGTGCTCGTTATGAGAAGTTCCATTGTATTTAGGTATGGGTAGGAATTATATATATATATATATATATATATGATGTAAATATAATTTGTACTTAATGAATGTTTTTTGTTGTATTGATGAAGGCATTTGCCAAAACATTTAAATTTGTATTTTGTGTAACCATAATTAAATCTTAACATATATTGTTTTATGGTAGATAAATTCTTTTTTAAAGTATTATGAGTCAAAAAAAATTTATTTTATTTTTAGGGGGGATGCCGTACTATTTCATTTAAATAGACTAGCTGTTATACCTCTGAGCGATCATGGTTGTAAAAAGAAATAGGCCCATCACAAATGAGTCGATCGACAGCATATTGTTTTTCATTTGTGTAAAAGTTATTTTCCATTTATTTAGTATTTAAATTTTTTGTTTGGGATCAGAATGAGTCCCATAGAACTTAGGGCCCCAGGCATTTCCCTGCTTTTTCTGTACCTGAGGAAAGTCCTGGATGTGTGGGAGATTGAGGTAGCAGTTTTTTTTAAATTATAATACAAAGTAAAATCACTTTTCCTTTTAAATTTTGTTTTTCTTCCACCTAAAAGCAATGTAAATACAATTATAAGAACCTGTACAACTATCCTAATATGAAACAATAAAATGAGGGTCTTTCCCCAATTTTCTATCTGTTGCAATCCCAAGTTCCATTTGTAGCTTACGTGGTCACTGTGGTAGCTTTTTTTTCACTTCAGTACAGGTGTAAAGACACAAAGAACTCAACCCATGGCCTATCCCAGATCAGGACATAGGAGGAGGGGTGGGCATAGAGGCTAGTGTCCACATTCTGTAAAACACTTTTAGTACAGGAACAACAGCAATGGGAGACAACTGAGGTTAATATACATGCAAAAATTACCTGCTTCATTATCTATAGGAAACTGCCAAAGTTTGCCTTCTTTGGTCAATTGAATCATTTCTTCAAAAGCATTCCTGGGTAGTCCACTTCCAACAGTCCTCAACTTTTCCTCATCAAGTGTCTGCCACAAGTCAGGCTCTACTTGTACTACTGGCTGTTGAGCTACATGGAGACATACAAATTATGTTACAACAAATACAAACCAATGTGACAAGGACATACAAATTCATCTTAAAATGATTAAAACTAGGATATAGGTAGGGTTGCACAAATTAGATAATTGCCATATTACTAAACAATCTCCCTTGCATGCCAGATTAATAATCAATCACCCTTGCATGCCAGATTAATAATCAATCATCCTTGCATGCCAGATTACTAATCAGTCACCCTTGCATGCCAGATTAATAATCAATCACCCTTGCATGCCAGATTAATTATCAATCACCCCTGCACGCCAGATTAATAATCAGTCACCCTTGCATGCCAGATTAATAATCAATCACCCTTGCATGCCAGATTAATTATCAATCACCCCTGCATGCCAGATTACTAATCAGTCACCCTTGCATGTCAGATTACTAATCAATCATCCTTGCATGTCAGATTAATAATCAATCACCCTTGCATCCCAGATTACTAATCAATCATCCTTGCATGCCAGATTAATAATCAATCATCCTTGCATGCCAGATTAATAATCAATCACCCTTGCATGCCAGATTAATAATCAATCATCCTTGCATGCCAGATTAATAATCAATCATCCTTGCATGCCAGATTAATAATCAATCACCCTTGCATGCCAGATTAATAATCAATCACCCTTGCATGCCAGATTAATTATCAATCACCCCTGCACGCCAGATTAATAATCAGTCACCCTTGCATGCCAGATTAATAATCAATCACCCTTGCATGCCAGATTAATAATCAATCACCCTTGCATGCCAGATTAATAATCAATCACCCTTGCATGCCAGATTAATAATCAATCATCCTTGCATGCCAGATTAATAATCAATCACCCTTGCATGCCAGATTAATAATCAATCATCCTTGCATGCCAGATTAATAATCAATCATCCTTGCAAGCCAGATTAATAATCAATCACCCTTGCATGCCAGATTAATAATCACTCACCCTTGCATGCCAGATTAATAATCAATCACCCTTGCATGCCAGATTAATAATCAATCACCCTTGCTCCAGCTGTAAATGCCTATTAATCAGCAGCGGATGACTTATTGCAAAGCTCAGTCCAGATGTGCGCCACTGATGAGCATAGCACTAAGGCGGACTTCATATAAGCATAGAAGCAGCTCCAGTGTTACAAGGACATACCAAACTAGGTGACATTAACATACAAACTGTGATAACATTTTTATATCAAATATTACATGCTGAAATCAACCAATGCTACACGGACGTACACATGGTGACAGTTTATACCTCCAGCTTTGATTTTGTCAGCATCAAATATCCCCAACCTTGCCACCCCAAACAAGTCACTGAAAACCTCACTTTGCCTGCAGAAAATGCAAGTGAACAGATTTTTTGTATTCATGACAAAATAATACACCACTCAATAATACCACTCTACACCAACAATAATCTAAGACTTTATGAGTTTAGCTATGATATGTCAAATGACCAAGTTGTTTACTAAGTCTGATAATACTTCATTAAGCACACCATGAGTTTACATTCCTCTGCTTTAAATAGTTGCTTTTTCAGGGTCTCTAATGTTTACTTGAACTTGGTTCAGATTTTGCAAGAATTTCCTTTCGTATTGATGCTTTGGATGCTAAGAAATTCATTTTTAATCTTATGACTCATAATAAACTGGAATAAAGAAAAGTTCTTACCTAGCCAATCTTTTTCGTTGAACAACTTAAAAAAGTCAAAGGAGAGATGAATTAGCAAACATTTTATTTCTTTTTAATGTTTTGAATAAGGCTGCTGTGGTAGCTTTTCACTACAGCATCTGCTTTCAATTACTTCCATGTATAATGACTAAGGCTTTTTACATGTAAAAACTAAACAAAAATTCATATCCATTTATCCATTTATTAGATTGGAAAAATATATATATTATTTTCAGCATTCTAAAAAAATGAATTTTGAAACTGTATGTCATAAGAATTGTTCTCTTGTGGTGGTAAATGGTATATGGTGTCATCAATCACCATGATACAGATGGAACAGTTCCAATGAAATTACTTCATTTTTTATTTTCATTCTGGTTTTTTTAATGCAACATACTTTATCATAGGAAAAAATTATTTTCTTTATTCAGGGGTAGAAGAGTGATTGAATTTCTATCTTTTTTTTGTAACAGAAATATGCACTTGTAATTGATGTATTAGCTAAACTGACACTTAACTTAAGAGGTTATGTTGAGTATTATCCTAAGGTTATTCTACAGATGATATAATAAATTAAAAGCATATGTTCTGTTTTTAATCTAAGGAGTCACAAAAGACCAATGAGTAAAAGACATTTACTTCTGTCATGTGGGATTTCGAAATGTTCCCAATTTTTTCCTTCTCCACGTTCTCCCCTAGTATGAAAATGAAAGAATATTTCAGTAATAAACAAAAAATTTTTAAAACACAGTAGTTAAAATACTACTTAATTGAGAGCTTTTAATTTATAATTACTAAATTGTAAACAAAATAATTCAACTAAAATCATACCACTTTCTTGCATTGGGAGTTAATGGTTTATTTTTACAAAAGTGGACAAACCTTTAGATTTAATTCATACTACATTCTTTAATGGACAAAAACTGTGATATATAATGACAGCTGTTATATCTTTAACAATTATAATATTTTTTATTGCAGGGTAACTGTCTAATAATTTTTTTAAACATCTACCTGGTTAATTGCACTTTGGTATCAGCTGTAGATAAAAAAAATTGGTCATTTTTTAAATTATATTTTCAATCACATACTTTTTACAAAGAAGAATATTTTTTCTCCAAGGGTTTTGAGCTTTTCGAAGACAAACAACAATAATTAATTACCTCTAAATATACTAACATACTTTAAATATACTAACTTACCTTTTGCCGTAGTGGTATAAGGTAACTCATTGTCCCACTTGTCACTTGTTTCCCTAATGGTAAAAAAAAAAATCCATAAGTATTAGCTAACAGAAACACTATGTTATCCTATTTCATTATTTAGGACTAAGTGATGTAGTGTGCATGAATCAGATAAAAATAATATCTGTGCTGAAAATTGTTACTGTTTTAAAAAATTGTAATATTGGTTTTTAAAATAATTAAATGCAAAAATCAAAAAGTGTTTGAAAATATAAGAAGTGACTTACCTTATTCTTTGTCTGTCTTCATGCACTCTCTGTCTTGACGGCATCGATACTGTTACAGAAAGAAGAAAAAAAATAGGAAAATATAAATGAGGTATCCAAAATTTAACATTTATTTTCAAAATATTTATTTTAAAACAAAAATTCAATAAAATATTTTTTAAAATGACACACTAAGAAGAAATATTTAGCATACACAAAAAACAAAAAAACAACTTCAATCACTTACATCTAGAAACTTTCATAGTTGACAGCAGAGAACTGGGGATAAAATGACGATTGGTCTGATTAATTTTGTCATGAGATCTATCAATTTTCTTTTAATAAGTGCTTTGTTCTTTTAAATACCGGTTTAAACTCTTTAAAAAAATATTTCACTGAGGATGCAGTACAACATTTGGGACCTAATAAAAAAAAATGTATACATATTTGCTATGAAGACCCTGAACATAGTCTACTTTTAAAGCAAAATTTTCATAATGCAATGATACTTCATAAAAAAAACTATAGTCAATTTTTTGCTCCATTTATTAGCTTTTTGAGTTCATACTTTTTAGGATCTTTATCACCAACTAAAACCTACAGGACTACTTATGCAGCCCTGATCTTAAAGATCACCAAACTTGCTTTTAATTACCTAGGCTTCTCCTCACTTGTTTCCTGGTCACCTATGTTTTCAGGATTAGAATGCATCTGTAAACGTGTCAGAAGTTCATCCGCTGTCCTTGTCCAATCACCTGGCAGTGACCTGGCCACTCTCACTGCTGCTTTCCTCAGGTTCTCATTTAAAGAAACCTGTCTTCAAAAATAAAACAAAGAGATACACTTAAGTTGCTGATGCAGGCTTTTAGTTTAAGTGATGTGGAAAAAAGACACTGAATCATACATTTCAAATTAACGTCTCACACATTTAATTAAATCTTTGACTTGATATTCTTCTCAAAATGGTATAGGTAGTGTGTTTGGTGATTTCTTTTTTCAATTTTTCCCTACTTCCTTAATAACAAAAAGTTAAATATCTGTAACACATGTCTTGATATGTGACTTTAGGAGACACTGAAGTTTCAAAAATATCATTGCCAGTTCTACTGCAAAAATGCATACCCTTTCTTCACACTGTTAGGTTCTTCAATAATTTCTTTGCCTTTAATTGTTTCTTTTTTAGCAGGAGCAACTTTTGAGACTTTACTGGCGGAAGTCACATCTTTTACATCTTTGCTTGGTTCGATTTTTTCCTTGGTGTCATCTGCATGTATAGCTGATGTCAACTGTAAATACCTAAGTTGTGCTATTAACAACCTATGATGAAAATAGTTTTATAAAATAATTATAATAAAAATTTAACTTTTGAAAAGATTTCTAAAAAGTGATTATGAAACCTACTAACAGATTTAAATAGTCTACTTTAATAAATAACAAGTATTATCTCTCAAAATACAGGACTTGTGTTTTAGAATGAACCTAGAAGTAATTTAAATAAATATGTTTTAATTCGAGGTTTAAAAACCCGGTAGAGTCCATATTATAAATGATCATAATTTGCGTGTGCAAAACGTTGTCATGGGCAGCCATTCACGGTCACTAGCATAATGGCTATGCCATGATACTGGGTCAGAGTTTCATTCATAAGAGTTTGCCAAGTGCAAAAGCTATTAAACCATTCATCAGAGAAAGCTTGGAAAGTGCATACATGTTTAGCATATTCTCGTTTCTTAGCAAGAGGCGACTACGCTGGTTAGGCAATGTAAGGAGAATGGAGGAAGGCCGTATCCCAAAGATGCTGCTGGGACAAGAATTATTGGACGGCCATGCCTGAGATTTATGGACGTTTGCAAAAGGAACATGAGGGAAGCCAATATTGAAAACAACGAATGGGAGCTCATTGCCGAACAACGTTCCAGCTGGCGAACAGCACTGTATGAAAGAGTAAAAAAGGCAGAAGTACGCGAAACGAGGCCCTTGCAACAAAAAGAACAATACGGAAGTCAAGATCTTACCAGGAATCAATATTCTCCTGCGAGAAATGCAGTTCAGATTGTCATTCTAGGATTGGCCTAGTGACCTAGTGAGCCACACGTCGAAGTGTAGGACTACATAGCTACTCCATCGTCTCGCGAAGATGGAAGGATGCCATACACTTGTAGGTAAATAATATACTATATTATTAGGCATTAGGTAGGTAGTTTGATGAAGCAAGAGGGACTACTAAAAAATTTGTGTGGGAAATAGGCGTCGGCGCGCGAAAATCCAAGTTTTTAATTTTTTGATAGTGGAACTATTTCATTCATAAAATAATTACTATATCCCAGAATTGTGTTCCTCTTCTGGCCTTTCCCTTTAAAGGACATCTTGGCCTACATTTTAATCAATTTCTTTTTCATTTACAATTAGTCAGCTTTGAGAAAATTCCTGGTGAATATAAGGCAACTTCAACCATTAAAATTAAGTTGAAGTAAAAGACATGTCACTACCAAATTTTTTATGCATCTGGGGTATGTATTGATCTACAAATATGCCAATTTTCAAAGCGATATGTGTTTTATGAGAGAGGCCATGTTTCTACGATTTCGCAGCAGGTCATGCAGTTCGCTCAGCCTAATTTCGACATGGCATGGGCCTCGCCCCCTTTTTAATGGCGGAAGTTGCAGATACTTACGAAATATTAAATTATTACCACTATTTACATCAAAATATTTGATAACTTGTGTTTCAGAATACATTTTGAAGACATTTAAACTGGAATGTTTTAATTTGAGCTTTAAAAACCCGTTAGAGTCCATATTATAAATGATCAGAATTTACAGTGTGCAACACGTTGTCATTGGCAACCATTCACAGCCACTTGCATAATGGCTGTATCGTAGTACTACCTCAGAATTTCATTCATAAGAGTTTGCCGTGTGCAAAAACTATTAAACCATTGGTCAGGGAAAGCTTTAATTAATTATTCATGTGCCAAATGTGAAAGTTTAAACTAAGTCGACCCTAAACAGTATTTTAGTGATAGGGGATGCGTTGCCTTATATAAAGTATATAGTCATTGCACATGACGCGATCAGCGGAATGATGTCACAAGATATGGAGGTTTGTCCATAGTAAAAAATATCAAACGAACTCACACTTTAAAAATTCGTAGCTCAAAAAGTACTGTATTATTTAAAAAATTATTTCAATTTTTTTTAATATTCGTATTCAAGTACCTACTAAACTTAAACTAAACAAAGATTACAAAACGCTACCGCTGTTCTTATAGATTACCCAGCTCTATTACCTTCGAGCCTCTAAACTTTTAGAAGCTAAAAGTGATTGTGAGAATGTCTTGAACATGTTTTTTTTTTAATGTTCACAAGGTCATAATACAAATGGTCAACCTGGAAATAATTGGCTTTATAATAATACTCAAACTTTGTACTGCAAACTGCAAGTGTTTCCTGTTCTTGTAATTTTTTTTTTTTTAATCGCATATTTATTATATAATTTTTGTTTGGCTCTTTTCGGCCTACACTAAGGCATTACGGTACAAAAAATATTAACAGAATTTTATTAAATGTAATGGGGTACGTATCAGGGCCTAAATCTTGCAGGAAGGGGCCATCTTGGGTGGACTTTCCCAGGACTTGACCCCTGGTTTTAAGCACATTTTTTTTTTATTTCTGCAGGCCATGATGATCGGACTCAGCAGCACCGCCATTCGCACCCGGGTACCAATAGACTCATTCCTATTCGAATGTCATTTGTGGAAGTTTATTTAATTAAACTATAGAAGTAGGTTTACAAACATATAGCCCATTCAATTACCTTTCATTTGATACCTCCTTTTGTCTTATAAACCCAACAATAATATTTTTAATAGTTTTTTTAATCCCAACCTCTCACTTTTGGTGCCTGTGTGCGATTAGTCGCAGCCATTAAAGTAACTGTCGTTTCTTGTTTTGCATTGTCTGCTGAATAAGGATCAGGCATCTAGCCGAAACATCCGTTTATTTGTCCTGTCTTTTCTTTTCAAGCCTAAAAATATCTTGTTCCACTGTCCTCACTGACCGGGGCGGGCTTTAAGTTTCAAGCGCCTTAATCCGACCATGCACCATAACAAGAAACGTTTAAAGTGAAATCGTAACAAATCCCGAGGGGGCGGCATCAAATCATTCGATTTTTTGTTAAAATGTTTAAGAGATTTATAGAATTTAGACTCATAATAGACTGTTCTTGCAATAATTGGCATAAAATGCCAATTTCTGCATTTAACATTTTTTTAAAAAATGTAATTGTGTCCTAACTTCTGCCAAGGAGTTCTTTGTTAAAATCCTTTATATTAACTTCCCTTTTGTTCGTGGGTGGCTGGCAAGATCAAGACGGCTCCTAAACTCGTTGGCACAAAGATTCGTTGCCGATGACAACACATCCTATCAAAATTTTCCCCCCCCCCCCCCCCCCCAAACCACCTACCCCAAACCCCAAAAAATCAAGGGGAACGAAGGGAAATTCCCGATAACTGCGCTAAATGAGATTCTTTTTTTTTTTTTAATTACAAGTGCGTTGGTGCGTAATATTTTCTTTTGTTTTTCGGAAATACATGTAGTTGGTGAAGTAAATCTGCGGTTTAAAAGTGGGTGGATCATCAATTTTCAGCACCGTCCTCCCCGACCCACCCCTTTTTTCTGCTCGATATTAGCCTACATTTTTTGAAGGATTTATACAAACAACTTAGTTTTTAGGCGGGTGTTTAATGTTTTTCATTGTTTTATTGTAGACATATATTATGATATATTATTCCATTTGTCCCATAGGTCTGCACTGAGCTTGTTATTTCAAGTCACATCACGTCACCAAAAAAATGTCTCCACCCTTTGATGACTATCCCCTAGTTGACGGCTTTTTTTTTTTCTTTTTTTTTTTTTTCACTTCGCCCCTTTTTTCTTCCTATTATTTTAAATGAAATTTTTTAGAATAATCTTGTTATTTCAAGTCACATCACGTCACCAAAAAAATGTCTCCACCCTTTGATGACTATCCCCTAGTTGACGGCTTTTTTTTTTCTTTTTTTTTTTTTTTTCCACTTCGCCCCTTTTGTCGACCTAATATTTAAAATGAAATTGGTCAGAATAAAATAATAAATATACTGTGTAGAAGTTCCGATATCTCATAATAATGAATAGTAATTGATCGTGAAATTAAATTATGCTTTGCGTCTTTTGCGCCGAAAATGCCCAGACATGGGTGGACTGCCCCTCCCCTTTCTACGTCTCTGTCCAGTATTTATATACCTCGTTACAGCAGTGGTTCTTAACCTGGGTTCGATCGAACCCCAGGGGTTCAGTGAGTCAGTCTCAGGGGTTTGGCGGAGGTCCCCAAAAAAATCAGAAAAAAAACATATTTTATTTTTCCTATTAAGAAGGGTTCGGTGACTGCGCATATGAAACTGGCGGGGTTCAGTACCTCCACAAGGTTAAGAACCACTGCACTACAGGAATAGGGGCGGGAGTCATTACGACAAATGTTTTGTCCGCTACAGGGAAACAATAAGGGAAGGTGTATTGAGCTGTCTGCCGTACAGTTCGGCGCTATATCAGTTTGTCCCACATTTTGGCCTCAAGAGAGAGCATTTTCTTTCCGCCGCCGACTCGCAGGTTTGCCTGAAGGTTTGCGTTTCCTAATCCTACCCTTCATAGCTACCCCAAACTACCCCCTCCCCAGGGCCTGAAGGTTTGCGTTTCCTAATCCTACCCTTCATAGCTACCCCAAACTACCCCCTCCCCAGGGCCTGAAGGTTTGCGTTTCCTAATCCTACCCTTCATAGCTACCCCAAACTACCCCCTCCCCAAACCATGGCAAATCAAAGCTTTCCGGTGTACATGTCCCACCCCACGTTCAGTTTCTGCCCTCTTCCAACCAACCCCATCATACCATCTCACAAACTTAACAAATTTCCCCTCCTAAGCACCTTCCACACGAATAGGGCTATAACTGTCCTTTAATCGAAACATAATTTTCAATTTAATCCTTTAGATCAGGGATCTCCAAACTACGGCCCGCGAGGCCCTCACATTCGACAAGTTGATACCTTTTTGTCTACGGAAAAAAATTACGGAAATCTACGTGTATCCTGCCAAGATTCGCCGCTTACGGGGATGTTATCGAATTAAAATAGAAGCGCGCAGAAGTGCGTTATGTTTTCCAACTGATCATGACTTTCCAAAACGTTATTCTCTGCTTAGTTTTTCTACTTCCGTTCACAGTCAATGAGATGATATGACACCAGCAAATGGCGGAGTTTTTAAATGGTTTGTAGCTTGTTCAAGACTTGATTATTTTGAGCACAGTTTGCCAGTTGGGGGTTGACTGCTGCGATAAAATATATACATATGGGGAGGGTAAAATCCGTGCCGAAAAATTCTCTAAATTACAAAATCAACTCACATCTCAGAGGAAATTGTTCAGTAAATCCTCAAATTAAAATGAATCCTTAACTAAGGCCAGTTATAAAGTTGCATATAGGTACTGGCTAAAGTGGCAAACCATTTACAGATGGTGAAGTAGTGAAGGAATGTTTGTTGGTGCTGGCCGAGGAACTTTGCCCAGAATAGTCAAAACAATTTGAAAATGTAGGCTTGGGAGCAAATACCATTGCCCGCCATGTTGCAGACATGGGTGAAAACATTGTGACTTAAATAGCGAAAAATGCAAGCAAGTTTCGCTATTTTTTAACTGCAGTGGATAAATCGCTGGACAGCTGTTCCACGTCTCAACTGTGTGTGTTCATTAGAGGTGTGGATGAAGACATGAACTTAACACAAGAGCTGGCTTTCCTACATAGCATGTACGGGACTGCCACTGGAGAGGATATATTCAATGAGTTGTAAAAAAAAAAAAGAAACATTTGCTGATTGTAACTGTGACTGGACAAACCTCAGTTGCCTGACTGTTGGAGGAAAGAAAACGAGTGGCATAAAGAAAGGCTTGGTGGGACAAGTGAAGCAGGTGTGTAATGAGAAAAACATTCTACAACCAATGTTCATGTACTGTATTATTCACCAGCAAGCTTTGTGTGCTAATTATTTGGGCATCAGCACTGAAGCCTGTGGTGAAGATGGTGAATTTAATAAGGTCACATGGGCTCAATCATTGACATCACTAACCCTGTTGAAAAATAAAGACACAGACTCGCAAGATTTACCATGTACACAGCAGTAAGAAAGCTTAGTTGTGAGAAAGTTCAGAACAGAGTATTTAAGTTAAGAGAGGAAATAGGTGACTTCCTGGAAAGTAATAAATGCAAGCTACAACCATTACTGTCTGCTGAAGAGTGGGTATGGAAATTGGCCTTTGCTGCAGACATTAGTCATTTAAATTTTCTGAAACAAAAACTACAAGGAGAGGTAAAAATCTAGTTGATGATCTATACAAGGCCCTCAGATCCAAACTCGTCTTGTTTTTGGAACAAGTACAGGCCAACAACTTGATGCACTTTCAGCAGTGCAAGGTCTTCTTGGCTGAAACAACAGCGGAGTTCCCCGACGTCATTTGCATGCGAGATCATCAAAGACCTCCAGCTGCAGTTTCAGCAGCGGTTTTCTGACTTGGATTCAAGGGCAGAAGAAGTGAGACTGTTTCAAAACTCATTTGAAGCAGATGTGGTCAGTTGCCCAGATGAACTGCAGCCGGAGGCCATTGAGTTGCAAGCAAATGACCTCCTTAGGGACAAGTTCAAAGAAGGACTGGTGGGTTTTTTACAGTTTTTGCCCAAGGAAGACGTCCCTAATGTAAATGTCACCATTCCCACTAATACGGGTGTTCATGTATAGTGTACCAACGTCTTATTAAATAACTAAATAAAAATAATATTAAATAAATAAATTAAAACAACATCCTTGTTTTGATTCTTTTTTTATTTTGACCCGAGCGTGTAGTCGGCCCCCGAACTGCTGTTTGATAGTTAATGCGGCCCTCGGGCTGAAAATTTTGGAGACCCCTGCTTTAGATAATTAATTTTAATATTGTTATTTAGCAAAATGAACCCTCAACCCTATTTCCACCCGATTAAATGATAAACTCACAAATGACTTCACTTCCTTCATACGCCTGTCTCACACACTAACCCTAGGATTATGATTAATAGCCTTAGACGCGTCTTCGCCATCTTTTTTCAAGATTTGCTTCGAGTTTTTTAAGGGTTTTTTTGTGTGGTCTTTTGTGTGTGTGTGTGTGACTTTTCTGTTACGGTTTCACCGGCACCACCACTTATTGTTTCTCTAAGGAACGTCTTTGAAGCCCACATAATTTACATTAGGCCTCTACATTAAATTAACATGCTTCGCTTGAATTTACTGCACGACAGGAATTTTCATTAAGAAATGGAACTGATGAAATTTCAAAATCTATGGCAAATCTATTCCACTATACTTTCTGGCATGGGTTTACT